TTCAACCTCACTTGCACCACCAACCTTCACAAGCGCAACACCCTTCGAGAGTTTTGCCATACGCTCGTTCAGCTTCTCCTTAAACGAATCCATCGATGCGAGTAAATACGAACAGCTATCCGATACATTACAAAATCTATCTGTGACTTGATCAAACTGACAAATTTTGTTTGATGAATGATTACAAAATCTAAGCAAATTATCAAACGAACAATTCCATCAACACAACAAACCCTTTGATAGTCTGATGTCGAGTGCTCGAGTTCATCCTCAATTTGTGAGATTCGTTTCTCAATGGCCGCTGGATCACCCTTTAAAGTGCAACAACTCAATAAACACTCCCATCAAATAATCAGTATCATATCATTAACACTTTTAATAGATTAATAATAATTATTACAGTTCATAGAATACGCATCGTTGTTGTTGTCGCTGACTCTACTTCTCCAAAAATATGAAATCGATTCAAGCATTTGCTTGATTCAAATAATGACTGCAAACCTTATCGCAAGTGATACGATAAGTTCATTCACAGCACTCACCTTCCCTCTCAATATCAACGTGTCATCTTTGGTGATTGACACCTCTTCAGCTTGACCCAAGTCATCCACTGAAACATCTTCGATTTTTAACAGACTCGCTTCGTCACCGAATACTTTACCACCAGTAGCAATGGCCATATCCGCAAGCATATATTTGCGATTATCACCGAATCCCGGTGCCTTTACAGCCACAACTTGAAGACCAACCTGAAAGAAACGAGGTGAAATTGATAGAAATAACTTCAACAATGACAATAACAATGGAAAGTACGTAATGACAAACCTTCAGTCTATTCAAGACCATTGTCGTTAGAGCCTCACCGTCAACGTCTTCAGCGATTATGAGTAAAGGCTTACGACTCTTATTGGCCAGTTCCAGTGCCGGTACAACCTCCTTCAAGCATACGAATATGTTTTTGGAAATATCAATCACAGCAATTGCAATGTCTGTCCATCATATAATCGATAATAATAACTAAGAGATCTTATAAAACAAACATTTAAAAAATTTTCACTTACCGTCACTTGACTGATTTTCTTCTCCGAGAATAGAATCAAACATTTCTCGAATTCAGTTTTAGCGCCTTTGGAGGTATTGATGAAATACGGTGAAATATAACCGCGATCGAATTTCATTCCTTCAATCACCTCCAATTCATCTTTCATTGTTTTACCATCCTTTACCGTTATGACACCTTTCTTTCCAACCTGCAAATGAACACTTTCATCTCTCAACGAACACCACAATCTCGGAAAATCACATTCTCACGAAAACCCTCATCACTATTCGACTCAAATTAATGATGAAGAACAAAAAACGACACACAACAGGGTCATAAATAATACGAATTCGTGATGAGCAAAAATTACACACGGCCAGAAAAATTCTAGAACTAAAGAGGCCGGAATAGGTGCCAACCTTTTTCATAGCATTCGATATCAGTTCACCAATGGACGCATCTCCATTCGCTGAAATTGTGGCCACTTGGGCGATTTCTTCGGGTGAATCGATCTGACGACTCATTGATTTCAGCTCGGCGACAAGCGCTTCCACGGCTTTCATTACACCTTTGCGGATTTCGACCGGATTTGCGCCTCGGCTGATGTTTTCGAAGCCTTCCTTCGCAATCGAACGCGCCAACACGGTGGCACATGTTGTGCCATCTCCGGCCTCATCGTTTGTCTTATTGGCTACGTCCTGAACGAGTTTAGCGCCCAAATTCTTGTACTTGTTCTCGAAGTCGATTGCCTTCGCCACGGTCACACCGTCTTTGGTGATCTTCGGGCTGCCCCACGATTGTTCAATGATGACGTTACGCCCTTTTGGTCCCATTGTGGCCGCAACAGCATCGGCCAAAACGTCCACACCTTGCAACATGGCCGCACGACCTTCGGCACCAAACTTCAGTTCTTTTGCGAAACCGCGCATAAACGCACGGGCCACATGGCGCTGTGTAGCGGCACACAATCTGAGCATTGTGTTTGGAAATGAGGCACTGAAAATTTACGACATTTATTGTCCTGGTGGATGGAACGCTTACACGTAGGATCCGAACGAAATTTTTAATTGCACAAACCACAAATTACAGAGGCATTTCAACAATCTGAAAATGAAAACTGAATATAATGCGAGAGATGTCATATGAAGTTACGAAAGAAGTTGTTGAAGTGTTTAAATGAAGAAGAGTTAAACTTCTACACTAGTTCATGGATATTTTCCGGCAGTAACATAAATTTTGTAACGAACGACGACTAAACGAACGCGACTCTCTATTCAACTAAAGCCAATGAAACAAGCTTGCTTAAAAACAACAATGCCAATGAAACGTGCAATTTAAGAAATAAATTGAGCTGATAAGCATCCAACAGAGTATTTTCTTTCAGCAAAACGTCTCAAAAGTACTCTATTTGCAAAAAAAGCCAGCCGTCTGGCACGTTAAGAGCGTACACCACTGCAAAACATGCGAACCTTAGGAACGATATCAAACCGTTAGCTAATGCAACAAGTGAGGGACGACTCAACTGAACCGATAAAAATATCTCATTGAGTATCCAGCTCACAAGCAACGAGTGAATAGTGCAATTGCAAAACGAGAATCAGAAGTTCCTTTTGCTACTGTTCCCAAACACCCATCATTATTGCTTAGCAAATCATTTCTTGTTTAAATTGTCGACTTTCGACAAGAAATACGAACTGAATGAATTTTCCAGAGTGAGAGTTTCAGTCAAAATTGACAAAGTTCGGTTCGCATATATGAATTTCTTGAATTTTCACAGGTTCCCCAAAAAGGCGCGAATTTGAAATTTCATGACGGCGAGCGTTATGGACACACCTCTTTTTCATTTTCAGACGGGGGAAAAAAGGCCAAGTTGTTCGCGAGACGGGTGCCCATCTCCGTTTCGCGAACAACTCGGCCTTGATACCTCTCGATTGGGTCCGGCCTGCAATTGCCGACGACTGACACCAAAAAAATGGAGCAGCTGGCAGATTGCTGCCGAAGCCAGAGTGGCGAGGTGCTTAAATTTTGAAGAGAATTTCGAGAATTTAGAATTTAGAGAAAGCTGCCGGGGCCAGAGAATTTAGAACCCACCCAAAAGCCTCAAATCTCAAGCACAGAGAGAGGCACCTCACCAAACTCTGTCCCAATCAAAAGGCATCACACGAAAGAGCTATAACTCAGCTCTTTCGTCAGAATTCAACAACACGTTAATGCTTTATACAACCCTCACACTCTTCGCAGAGAGTAATGAGGGTTTCACGAGAATTAATATTACAATTGTGCCACTTCATTAAATAATATCAAATCGTGATCACATCATCACAAAATCCTCGGAATTTTCTTCTGCATCCTCGTCCATTAATGTTGCTTTGGATTCCTTATGCGCCTTCGCTGTCCACTTTTCATTGCACTGCTCCAAACTGATATTGAATAATCCTGAAAATTCACTCTGCAGCATCAACTGGAAATTTTTTCATTATTTATGTTATTAGAACTATACTATACTAAACTATCTCACGCTAAATCCCACCCCATCCGCTAAACTTATCCCCGTTATCCCCTCTAGACTTAGTCACCCTAAACCTAATGTTACCCACTTGAGCTTCTGTTCAGAGGAGTTAAGTGAATTTTGCCCCCCTGGGTGGGGAAGTGGTGGATAACATAACAATAACAATAAATAACAAATAAGATCTCCGCACCAGCCCCACTCCCTGTAAGCTGAGCTGAGGTACCTTGTGATCACCTAGTGTAAGTACTAGGAAGGAACACTGACCGAATAGAGAGAACTTTTAACTTAGTACCACCCTTCTGGAGTCACCCCACCATCAACTCTTCCGCTTGCTACTAAATCTGTTGGTTTATTATTTATGTTATTTTAATCTTTATTTATGTTTAAATCTCTTTAGTAGCAAGCGGAAGAGTTGGATTTTTTTATAAGCTGTTAATAAATTTTTTAATAAGATTTTTAAAATTTATACAAGCATTTTTCATAAAGATTTTTATAAGCTGGCGTTGCTGGTCGTGTTTCACTCTCTTAAAGTGTACTTTACAATAAATATTGCGATCGCTTATGTGAAAGTCCAATAACTTAAGGGATTACATAAATCTGCTTATACGCAAGCAAATCATTTTTTTCAAGAAACAAATTTTTATAAAGGCCAGTCCCCTGAACACCTCTCGTTTCAGAATTTCTTGTTCTGAATACCGCAAATTTCATTAAGATACTCGGAAACAAATTAAATAGCAACTTTCTTCCCAATCAGCTCCTCCA